ATGAAACAACTAAACAAGACAGCATATAATTTCAGTGTATCTTTAATATTGATTCCCTTTTTTATTATATTGAATTTTTTAAATAAAAAATAAGCAAAGTTATTTGCAAGCGAGAATTTGAAATCATTTTATTGCAAACTCAAAGTTTATCCATAAAGCCATAATAATAGCTATTAAAGGTAGTTTAGTTTTATAAAGAACACTTTGGAACGTTTTGTGAATTGTTTGTGGTTGAATTTTACCTTAAATTGAAGCTTGTATTACGTATAATTACATACCTAACATATATATGTTGGGAAATTTATAATTTGTAATTTTAAGTGATATTTTTAGGCGATTTTCATTTGTAAGAATGTTCTTAAAAAATTAGATACTTCATGTTCGGAAAATACAATGGTGTTGTCAGCAAGGCGAGGGTTTCTGCATGCATGTATTTTCTAGTACAGTTTTCACTAAGACGTCTGCGCACTAACTAAAGACACTTTTCACTAAGACGACTCGAACTCCAACTCGATATTTTCCAACGCACAACCAGCTACTTTTTCACCACCCTGAGCGTTCATAATATCCTCAGCAGCTGGTAAAGTTAGAACGTACTTTAGATCACTTGTCATGTTGTGTGGGCGTACACTCCGTGAACTTTTAGGTTCATTTCAACCCTTGCTTCGTCTATTCGTGACTCAACAAGATCCTTAGCCGCTCGGAACACCTTTAAGCGCTTTTCGTCCGTTTCGGTTTTCAATTTGTCCTTGTAATTCTGCAGTTCGATAGCCAACACTATGAGTCTTTCTTTCGGTGATCCTTTGACATGATCTAACCCAGCTAGTTCCCTTTTTTCTTGTTCTGTTATTTTGTCCTCAGCTTCCGCTTTTTCTACGAGAGTGTCGGAAATTTCCGAAACGTCGTCGTCAAATCTTTCTTGAACATCTACAACGATAGCTTCTCTATTCTTCTCAAGCATTTCGTATGGAAGGGTTTCTTCGACAATGCTTGCTTACGAGTTTTTTCGATGTTCGTCTTGTGCTTGATCGTATAGATTTCTGAAAGCACTTACGACTGCTGCGGACCTCTTACCTGCGGACAACTAATAGTTTCGTGTCGGATCGATGTAACCGATACCAAACCATTGAATGAAATCCAATAGGTATTGAAGTTCAAACGTTTGAATAGTTGCTTAAAATTCAATCATTCGCTCGGATTTAATCTAAATTCGCTACCGAGTAGTCTTTTGACGTCTTTATTATCAAAAAGTCACAACAAACGTGCAAGTTTACAAATTTCAAATTATTTACAGTTAAAACGTAGCTACTTGTCCATTATCTATTCCAATCCATAATTAGAAATATTAGTTAAAAATAGTTAAATAGACATCTGTTAAGAAACGATCGTTTGAATCTCTCTGTTCTAGTTTGTGGTAAAATAAAGTTATGTTCTCGTTCTCTTAATGTCCTTTGTTTACGCTCAGGAAGCAATTCATATACGGGAGCAATTCAATTTGTACTGAATAACTTTCTTTCTCGATCTTCAATAACCTCAGATATTTTAATACATTTTGCCGTATATCCATAACGATAAGCCCAGCGAAGGAACTTGTCTATATACGATCTAGATATTTCATTTAAATTGCTGAACTCCATACTTCAATACCATTGTAAAATAATGTCATAATTAGTAAATCAAATAATTTGCTCAGTTGAGCTCTGGATTATCCATAGCACCTATATATCATTAATATATACATACGCCCGCTAGCATTGGACGCCCGCTAGCCTATTGGACAGTAGATCGTTAACATGAAGATTCCAAGAGCATGAATTATCCTGAAAAGCGTACCCAATAATTTTAACCAACTCTTTTCTTCAATGCCTACAATTGGTGTTGGTAAGGGTTTCGTTGACCCACTCTGTAGAACTATTTCCCACGTTTTAGAAATATTTAATGTCATTTGATTTGTTTACGACCAATTCTGAATTCCTTCAGCCTCAGTGGATGCAGAATCCAATTCTGATTTTACTGGGGCACTTGCAGTTATACTATCAGCACATTTGACCAAAAGGTTGTTTTTAGCATCTACGGGTATTATGTCATTTACCATGAGCGAAAATAGTAACGGGCCCAAAACCGTACCCTGCGGGTTCGCCTTTGTTAATATCAACTTACATCGTCTCTATGCCATCAACAACTACTTTTTGTTTCCTATTAGACAAGAGACTATGATCCAATTTGTAACATAAGGGTTAATTTTAAGTATTCAGTTTTTCACAGAATCGAAAGCTTTCTTGGAATCAAATTATATTACCCGAACATAGTTTGTACCTTCATCTAACTACTTAAGCCAATGATGTAAACACATGATCAATGCATCAGTTGAACTGGCTCTTTCTTTATATGCAAATTGGTCCTGTCTGACCACAGACTTGAATGCAGACGCAATCCCCTGCCTATAAACTACCCTTTCAAAGAGTCTCATGATGTTTGTAAGTGGTATGGGTCTCAACTGGCTGCACTGTGTTAAAGGACATTCTTTGGGTAAAGGATTGACCTTTGCAAGTTTCCATATGAGAGGGATACATTGCTGCTCGATTGAATAGTTTAGTAATTATAGGCGCTAAAAGTCGTGAAAAGTCTTTCCAAAGCCAATATGCATCAAGGGCGGATCCAGTTCCTGAGCTGACTGATGCCTAAGGCCTTGCATTTGTAGGGGGTCCGGGGGTATCCTCCCCCGGGAAATTTTGAAATCTAGGACGGCACCTCAGAAATGCGATTTCCTGCGTTCTGAGCGAACTCTTTTGTTCCAATTCATATATCAGAGTCACAAAATTATTTGCTGCATTTTTGGAAAGCACGTAAAAAACTTGAACCTATATCGTAAAAACAACATAATTTCTCTATATAAGAAAACAATATTTGCTTGTACAAGTGTAATAGCAGCAGTGGTACATAAGTCTCTATTCAAAAATAGTCAGTACTGTGCTTCTTGTAGTCTTAACTTTTCTATTGAAAAATATTTCGGCAAAAAATCACGAGCAACGCAAATACACACATGCGTGTAATAAAGGTGTATACAGTGTGATCCGCTAGTTGCATTGCTGGACTCAGAAGGCAGTGTTATTGTGTTGTTTTTTAACCACCTTCCCTTAATTATTAGTTTCCACTAATTTCCATTGTTCCATGAATAAAATCTTCTAGCATTAGAATGGTGCATTAAGGTATTTTGTGCTCTAGTGGGTAAACTTATTTATATACAACGCTGTCTTATAATGCTAATCTTACTCTGTATGGACAGTGTGGTCACATCAGTTGGTGACATCAGTTGGTCAATTTCATCAAATTCATTCATTTCTGCAAGATTTTATAAATTTCAAGAAAGAAAAGGCGAAAGAATCGGCTAAAAGAAGGGAGCCGACGTTAAAGAAGGTAAGTTTGCTTTAAATATTGATTTTATAATGGCTTTAAAACCCAACGGCTTTTGCGTATATGAAACAACTAAACAAGACAGCATATAATTTCAGTGTATCTTTAATATTGATTCCCTTTTTTATTATATTGAGTTTTTAAATAAAAAATAAGCAAAGTTATTTGCAAGCGAGAATTTGAAATCATTTTATTGCAAACTCAAAGTTTATCGGTAAAGCCATAATAATAGCTAAAGGTAGTTTAGTTTTATAAAGAACACTTTGGAACGTTTTGTGAATTGTTTGTGGTTGAATTTTACCTTAAATTGAAGCTTTGTTTGAAAAATATCCAGTGTACAGTTATTGCCAAATAACTCAGGCAATGCAAAGCAATTAGACTCTTGTCATGAGGCATGCCAGCTCATTTCCATATAAAATGAAAATGAAATGTAATAGAAGATACCACTGGAACTTGCAACTTGAACCAATTACCTCTCAATGGAAACTCCCCCTTAGTCTTCTAAATAATAGTGCATCACTATTAGAAATCTCATTAATATTAACCTGCAATATTATTATGCACTGTAATTACATACAGAGCCTGATGCAAGTCTTGACCCACACCATAGTTTTATTTTTAGTACGGTATCCAATCAAAATGTGCCAGGAGAAATGTCAATTTCACATAATTTAACAACAGGCTAAATATAGTTACAATCACTAAATCTATAATTATTTAATTATATATAGCATTAATTAACCAAAATATAAAAAAAATACATTAAATATGGCATGAATACTGTAAAAGTAGCTAGAAATAGCCAATCAGAGTTACAACCATAAAGGTAGTTGTAGGACACAAACGTTTAATAACATGTGTATCGAGTCTTCATTTTTCTTTGCCCGCCAGCTGTGAGAAAAATGAAGGTCTGGGCACAGGTTATAATCCCATGTAAACAAAGATGAAATTTGCCTCAGCAAAGCAAGCTGTCAAGTTTGGTATTGGGGCTGGTTTGCCTCCACACAAGCAAACCTCTGTTACTCGGTAGAGACTGTAAAATGTCAAACTACCTCAACCAAACCCCCCCCCCTCCCCCCCTGTTGGTATAAGCAACAGTATAAATAGACACAAACTCTAATTATTATGTTAATACAAACAAATCTGCATTAACTGTGGAGCCCATTTTCCACTTTATACACTTCTTGAACTGAACAATGAACTACAATGTAAAATATAGATAAATTTCACTTACTTTATTAGAGCCCTCAGTTCGAGTTTCACATAGTGGGCATCTCACAGTATAAATATACTTCAATTCTTGTACTCAAATGAAAGATTAGATTCATTCCAAGCCTTGGTAATTAATTCGGTAATTTGTTGTCTGTTTTCTCCGTCAATTTCGAGAGATATTTCTTCCCATTATTTGTCTCATTTGCGTATAGTGTTTGCATATCCTTGCCGCCATGACTTGAATCGAATGTCTTGTTACGTCACAGTAGATTTTGATTTTGCAACTTGCATCAGTGAACCGATGCGAGCGCCCGCAATCTGCATGCGATGCATCGCTCAGCGGACAAATTTACCGTGACGTAGGGCTCTAAAATGATGTCACAGTAGATTTCACGCGGAAAAGGACTCGGGACCGATGCATTCACTGATGCAAAATGGCTGAAAATCGGAAAATCGATGCAAACCAAATCTACCGTGACGTAGGTAATGCATCAGCTTTCTACTGTGACGTCAAAGAATGCGGTAAAAAATAACATATTTTATTGCGAAATTATTGACGCTTAAGTGTCGCAAAATAAAAAGTAAATAACAAAAAGTACACATTTGCGATCGCACGTCGCATATTGGACTTATTTTGACAATTTCGACTGGTAATGAGCTATTTAAATTGGATTTCATCCTAAATATTGTAGTCCTGACATGGAGTCAAGTATAAGCAAATATTTGCGGTTTGATAGCTGGAGAGAAGTATTGACGACAGCATAATATGTCTATATATTATTTCAAGCAACATGATTTCTCAATTTTGACCGATACATTCGCATCGTTGGCATCGGTCTGGATCCGCCCCTGATATGCATAGGAGTCCATTAGTACCAGGCGCTGCATGTTCATTTTAATTTCATTAAAAAAATTATGACAGTAGGTTCGTCAACGGTAGGAACTCGAGTGCCAACAGGAATTGATATAGCCTGGGAGGATATGTAATTCGCATCTGTATTTACATTTTGAAAGTATGAATTGATAACATGTGAAACGTGTGAATCTGAGTTTTTCTTTTCCTATGTTTTTCGTCAATATTTTCCCTAAGGAAACTTTCTCTTTCTGCTTCGTCTAAACCATCATTATTCAGAAGGTCATCGATTATTATTTCTTCGTTACCGTCTTCACCTACTTGATCTCCTCTTTTCAGTCGGTCCGGTCGGTTCTCAAGATCATTGAAGTCGTTCATTTCCATTGTTTTGGTAGTTTATTTCTAATATTAAAGTTGACTCTTGTTCGTTTTACCTTTTGATTTTGTCTTCGCCGTCGTCTTCGTTCCGGTACATAATCGGA